AAACAACCTACAGACACTATCTCAAAATGAAGCCTGCCTGTATCCTCATGGCAACCACAGTTCTCTCCAAATGCAACACTTTTTTTTTTTTTATCATGCTACATTTATGTGTAGCTCATTCCACTTCTAATAGTTCTTTCCACAAAAGTGATAAAACAATACACTCTGATATAACCAACTTCTTCAAACCCAATTCCATATACTTTAAGTCTATCTTGCTGTAGAAACCCTAGTCACCTTCCTTGTTTTGACATGTTTTGTGAGGAGATAGAATAAGAAAGAAAAAAAAAAATGCAAACAAGACACCCCCAAGTCTCACCTAGCACCCCACAGCCTCACCTGACACATGTACAGGTTCAAGTCACACAAAAACTCAGTTCAGAATTACTCTGGCATCTATAACACTAACAACAAAAAAAGCTTAAAAAAAAAAATCTGTGCAAAGGCAAAGCATTCTTCTAATTAAGCAAGTCATTAAAGAAAAAAATAGAAATTAATGTTCAAAGGTTTGTTTCAAGCAATTAATAGCTATGACTGTTTATTACAGTAAGCGACCATTACAAGCTACATTTGTATTTCAAAGTTCAAGCATTAATATTCCTTCTTAAAATACCAAGACATGCCAGTAGTTGCTTTATTGTTTTGTTTGGTTGTTTGTTGTTTTTTCTTAAATAAATGTACTGCTTATAGTATTCTGCAGGTCCAAAGTTCTCAGTTAGCTATTTATTTCTACTCTCCCTCCTGAAAAATATCAAAGCAAAGTAATCTTGTGTTATAACCATCTGAAAAGAGCTGACAAAAAGCAGTCCATTAGAAAGCAATTTAGGCATCCAAACACAGGTGTCTGGGGCCATTTTAGACTGACGTATCCAAAACATCTGACTGCGGATATGGCACAAAACCCAGGAGAATATGTGCCATTTTAAAGTGCCTGCAGGGAGCAAGAGATGATATTCCAGAGAGTTTAAAATGGCTTTAGACACCTATGCTCAAGTATCTTAACAGCTCCCTCAGAGTAAGAATTTAAATTAAAAGATAATTTTAAAAAAAACAAAAACTTTAATCATATATTTATTGTACTAATCTTACATAAGCCAAGAAAGTGTTGATCCAAGAGCCTGAAGCTGAAATTACATCTCTTACACACAGCTCTTAAAACACTCCAAACCTAAACATGAAACAATGTAACTTTTTCTGTTGTATATTTAGAAATAAAACATACCTGTTTTACTCATGATGATCTGACAAGCTCAGCAAGTAGAACAAACCATGGCCAGACACAGAACAGTTCCGCTCTTAATACAACATGATTTATCACCAGGATAATTTTACAATTTTCTTCTTCAGCATTATAATATAAAACCAATGCGAATAGTAGGATTACCTTTTAGTAAAACAAGTAATAGTTTACCCCAATAGTAACACAAATCTGTTCCAGGGAAGGAAAGACTGGATAGCATAAAGAAGTGAGAAAACTAAATTTGCTTGATGACAAATAGAAATACAAAACCAATTTGCTTGATGGCAATACAAAGAATTCTGCATCCGAACAAGCCTTTAGATAGCTGCTTTCAAACCAGGTTTTGGCACAGATCAGGCCTTAACACCTGTTAGAAATGGTGAAGAACTTCCAGTACTTTCAGAGATCTCTTCACCTTTTTGACTCAGATTTGCAGCACATGCGAAATTTAATTTGCCATCCAAGGACAGATTATTCCTGTCAAAAGGAGTGAAATGGAAGGTACCTATAGGAAATCATAAAGCAGCATTAGGCTAAGCACATTTTCAGCACTCAGGAAGAGAAATAAAGCAATGGCTCAGAGCGAGAAAATATTTTAATGGAGCAATATGGTAATGACATACACAGGTCTCATTGTTCCAAGATGAGAGAGAAAACAAAATTCAATTTAAAATTGTTCCGCTTAAAAATATTTATAAAAGTCTTAGGTATGACTACAAAGATGAGTACAATCAGTTTTTGAAAATGACATAATCCCCTTTAGGCCTTGGGCAAAGTTTAAGATAATGCTGTTTCGTAGTACTTTTCCTGGTTTACAAGAAAAATTTCATTATTTAAAGGAAAAATCCTGGAGAGCAAAAGCAGGCATCTCCAGTGAGCTTTTAAAGCTTTAGGTCTATTATTATACATGGGCTTTCCAATCAGCAATTGTAAATACTTACTTTGATCCTGAAAACCAGAGTGATCTGGTGATACTTTCAGTGGCAGTGCTGCAGTCTTACCCCTTCCCTTTTTGCCTCTGATGTAAATAAGACTTAACTGACTCAATCAAGCAATGGATACCGGGAGGAAACTGTAATCCTCACTCATTTTACATATGCACAACCACTTTTAAAAACATCATGAACTCTTTTTTATTCTCCTCTTCCATTTAATTTGTGGGATTCACTGTTAGAAATTGGTGCTGCTAGTGAGAGTGAGAAGAGACAACTGTCCATGCCACATAAACTTTGTATACAGTGTCTTTGTTTATAGTTAAGTAATGTGATGACTCAAGCTTGCCACCAGGAAGAAGTGCTTGTTTTTACAACTAAAATCAAAATAAACTGAGGGCAAGTCTTGAGGGCAAGTCTCTAGAAACACAATACATCCATTTAATAGAAAATGGTTTAAAAATAACTAAAAAAAAAATCCTGAAAGACACTTAAAGGTTTAAATGCGACTCAAACCACTCTATAGTTAACCATCAGCTAGCAAACAAGTTCAATTCCTCTAACATATTACTCTTCCTTAAGTCAAAATAACCCACCATGTGCTCCCCTCGTCTACTGCAACAGAAAGAGAGAGAGATTAGTTTACACACTGAAAGCTATCTTCATGGAGGAGGAGTAAATCTTTAGCTTTAAAAGGAAGAAGAAAGTTCTCCCTCTATTGCCACCAAACCGCTGACTGTTATTTTCAGCTAGAGGTTGGCTGATCACAGAACCATGGAAACACAGAGTAATTCAGGCTGGAAGGGGCCTCAGGAGGTCTCTAGTACAAACTCCTCCTCAAAGTAGGCTCAGCTGTGAGATCAGCCTAGGTTACTCCACATTTTATTCAGTTGGGTCTTGAAAACCTCTGAGGACAGAGACCACCTAACCTCTCCAGCAACCCAATCATGGTGAAAAAGCTCTTTTTTATATCTAATCTGAAGCACTCCCGTTTCAATTTAGTCACTGCAAAGAGTACAACTCCATCTTCTCTATAACCTCCCCATAGGCACTGGGAGTCCACCTCTTCTCCAAGCTGAAC